TCTCTGATCACTCCCCGCCCACACACCCCAAACCTTTTCAGCACGCCTCCTCCGTCATGCTGGGCAGGCGGCAAGGGAGCTTTTGAGCTGGACTGGAGAAGCCCCTGAAGGTGAGATTGAACCCCTCCCAAACTGCTCCGCGCCAGCCACAGGGTCGGGAGGAGCCGGGGTGCGGGGTGCAGGGTGCGGGGCAGGTGGCGGGCTCTGCGGCTTCCACTGGCTTCCAGGTCGGACTCACGTGGAGAAAAGGCTGTGCTAGGCTCTCCCAGCCTCTTCCTCTCACAGGCGAGGTGGAGCCCACAAGTGTGCAGGGGCCTCCTCCACCAGCCACGTCCTGAGCGGCGACCCTGACTCCACAGAGCCGTCCTCTCCTCTCCCAACCCCACCCCTGCCGGGCAGCCCGAGCACTGGTGGCTCCAGCGCCTTGAGCTGCATTCCTGCTGTAGCCTGGAGCTGGACAGCCCCGGGGAGCCCAGGCCCCACCCCTGGCCAACCACAGGCCCCACCGTGCCTCCCCTCCTCCTCCACTGGGAGGCGCTGTGGAGCGGGACTGAGTGTGCGGCACGGAAACACCCACGAGACCCCAGGTTGCCACGGACCCCATCGAGGAGGAGTCAGGTCCTTTCCCAGGCTGCCTGGCTGACCAGGCGGGGGCCGGGCGCCGGGGGCTCAGGCCTCGAACTGTGGCCCGCCTGAGGTGTGGCACGGCCCCAACGCAATGGGGTCAGCTGTCCGGGCCAGGGGCTGGCCCCCGCCCCAAGCCGTGTGTAGGCTCAGCTCCACGGCTTGATAAGCAAGGCTGCCCAATGAGCAGAATAAAAATGTAATATCTCTCACGGACGTACGTAGACATCTGCGTAACGTTCACGCGCACCTGGGCGCCCTGTAGTTATCTGGCAGGCCCACCCACTAGGCCCCTGTGCCAGAGTGGCCTCTCCCGCGGGGACCATGGTGAGCAGGCCTCCATGATCCACACACCAGGGCCCCGCCTGGCCCTTGCATCACGGCCACCAGGGGGCAGCAGCATCCCATATTTGAGGCGCTGTGCAGCTATCCACCCACCTGTCCACCATCGTGGGGGCCCGGGCCAGGACAGGAGGCCTCCTGTGGGCTGAGGGCTGTGCGGACACTGTTCAGGGTCTGCACCTGCAGAGGTGCCTTACCCGTCCCCAGCCCAGCACCGTGTGTCTCGGTGCATCAACCCTGGTATCGGCGGCTGACCCAGATGCAGAGCCCACCTGAGGCCACCAATGTCACACCTGTCCCATCCAGGGCATCTGCCCCACATCCCATGACCTCGCCCAGTCCTGAGAGCCAGAGGTCACGGTCTCGGCCTCCAGGGATCCTTGACCTGCTCCAGGGCACGGCAGCCTCTTCCGCTGCCGGCCGCTCTGCAAGATCAAGGTCAGCACCCTGGCTCTGGGGCTGCATTGCTCTCCGGTGAGCACAGGGCGAGGCCTGGGGTCTCCTGGTGTGTTTGTGGCTATCTGGGACTTGTCCCTGGGCTGTCAGCTGTGTCCAGAGGCTGCTGTGACCATGAGGCAGCGAGTGGGCTCCCATCATTTGTTCACTCCTCCCTGAGCAGCTGGGCCGGGCGGGCTCTGCACTGGGGACACTGGAGTGACCTGACAAGGCCACGAGTGGCAAGGAGGGATAGCAAGGGCCCAGGGCAGGGAGTGTGGAGTCCAGGGTGGCAGCCAGGAGAGGGCAGAGACCCCAGACGTGGGGCCCACCCTCTTGGACTAAGGGTGAAGGAGTGGGTGGGTCTGGGTGCCCGTGGCCCCAGCTCTCCCACCCAAGGCAACCACTATGAAGTGCCGTGGCCCAGGAGGAGCCAGACAGCCGCTGGTCCTGTGAGCAACACAGACGCAGACAGACAAGGCCCCGCACAGGACGGGCCTGGGTGGGACTGAGACCCTCCACAGACCCTCGCTGCAAATGACAAGTGGGTTGGGGCCGGCGCTGTGGTGTAGTGGGCTAAGCCTCCGCCTGCAGTGCGGGCTTCCCATATGGACGCTGGTTCATATCCCAGCTGCTCCTCTTCTGATCCAGCTCCCTGCTATGGCCTGGGAAAGCAGCAGACGATGGCCCAAGTCTTGGGCCCCTGCACCTGTGTGGAAGACCCGGAAGAAGCTCCCGGCTCCTGACTTTGGATCGGCCCAGTTCTGGCTGTTGCAGCCATTTGGGGAGAGAACCAGCGGATGGCAGACCTCTCTCTCTCCGTCTCTCCCTCTCTGTAACTCTGCCTTTCAAAAAATAAATTTTAAAAACAAACACACACACACACACAAAAAGGCAGCTGAGTTATCTGAGCCGTCCGCCGCGCCCCAGCACTGCCCCATACAGCACAGCTGTGTGCACACGCACACCCCACAGGTCACACACTCACACTCCACCTGACCCACAGGGTGCCAGACATGACTGGCTGCCCCTGACCTCCAGGGGCCCTGCGCGTGCCCCAGGGGCCTGGCGGGCTGTGGTGGGGTTGGGGCATGCATGTGGCCCAGGGAGGCTGGCCCCCACCTCCCCACTATGCCTGGGTCCAACTTTCCTATCCGTATGCAGAGCTAGTGCTCTGCCCAGCAGGGGGCGCTGAGGGGCCACAGAAGCCCCGGGTCAAGTGCACAGGTGCTGCTGGAACCGCGAGCGGCTTAGGGGCACGCAGGCAGAGGTGCCGGGTTCCTATGACTGGCAGATCCTTCAGGTCTGGGCCCCGCCTCCTGTCCTCCCCAGGGACCCCCATTCCCACGGGCCGCCCTGTCCTCACTCCCACAGTGCCTCTGCCCATGGGGCCAGAAGTCTTGCCAGCCCACCAGCGACCCCCAGGCACCCTGAACCCACCTCCGCCTGCCCAGCCCCGGGCCTGGGTTCAGCACAGCCCACCCGGAGCTGCAGCCCTGAGCCACGAGCCCCCAGGCCACGGGCCTAGGACAGCCTGGCGTGAGGAAGGCCCAGGCTGGGGCTGAGAGGCTGAGCTGGGCCCGAGGGGCCACTGTTCCCGGGTGGAGCCCTGCTCCACAGTGGGCTCCCTGCCCCTTGTGTTGGTAGGGGTCCTCTCCAGAAACCCAGGTCTGGTGGACCCTGCTCAGGCCCACCCGTCTCCGGGGGCGGGGAGGAGAGAAGCCATGCGGGACCCAGAACGAGGCTGGTGAGTGCCCTTTGGCTGTGCTGGGGAGGCCAGACCCCCTGTCCATTGCAGGAGCGACCTGTGGGGGGTCAGGCCTGGGCACCCTAAGTGCAGCACCTTGGAGGCTGGTTCAGGGCCCGTGGGTGGCCCCTGCGTCCCCCTGGACAGCCACGGGTGGCTGACGACATGGCAGGGGCCCCTTCGGCGGCTGTGCGGCGTGTGAGTGTGCACACCAAGCCTCGGCCAGGTGCATACACTACGAGGATGGCCATCCACCGAAGGAACACGTGCGCCACTTTCAAGGAACTCTGGCCAACGTGTGGGCCTGCCCGGGACGGCAGCAGACCTGGGATCCCTGGAGCAGCAGGCAGGACACGCGCAAGAAGAGGGGGTGGCCCAGGGCCACAGGTTCGGGGACGGCCAGGGCAGGTGGAGGGCCTCGGAGGCCGTGGACGAAGAGGAGGCTGCAGGTGGCTCACGGACAGATGGCGGTCACCGCTGGGGTCTTTTCCCGCTGGGGCTTCTTGGCACACAGCCAACACCTTTGGGGGCTGCCTCTGTCCCCGGCCGTGGGGGACTCCCTGAGCCCTGCCCACAGTGCCACGGTGAAGCTCAAGTCCAACTCCCCCAAGCCCAGCAGGGCTGCCTCTCTGGAGTCAGTCCAGTGCACCCCTGGTCACGGGCCTCCTGCACGAGGCTGGTGGGTCCGGGCAGTGGGGGCTTCCCCGAAGTTGAGCACACGGCCTCAGCATTTCTACTGAAAGACAGGTGCGTCTTGAAGGTAGGACAATGACCAAAGGCAACACAGTAGCTGCTGTCGCTGGAGGCCCGCAGAGGCAGGTTCTGTGCACCTGCTCTGCACCCCAGACCTTGGGCCGTCCTGCTCCCCCGAGGCCCAGAGGAGCCCACAGCCAGGGGGAGTGTGTGGAGGGCACTGCAGTGCCCATCCTTGCCAAAGAACCTGCGTCCTGCCCTGTCAGCCGCACGCCTGCGGGGGAGGTGGTGCCCCCTCTCGGTCCGGGGGACCATCCTGGCCAGCCTGAGCCGGGCATCTGGATCTCCGCTCATCCGCACTGGCCTGGCCATGGCTCCAGCCAGTGAGAAGTGAGGCTGGTGGGGCAGAGACAAACAGCCCCGCCATGGAGGCACACCGCGATGGAGAGCCACGGAGAGGCCAGGACGAGAGGCCGGGATGTCGCTTGTCCTCCCTTGGAACAAGACTCTCCTACCCTGTTGGTCAAACCCCGGATGGAGGGGCGCAGGAGGGCAAGGCCATTGGCTATGCCGGCAACAGTCACCTCTTTCCACAAGCCCCTCCTGGGAGGCACCGCAGAGCAGGTGTCGCAGACACAGCAGGAGAGGCCGGGGGCGGGCGGGCGGGACACCTGCAAGTCCCCCTTGTGTCCTGGGGACGGCAGGACGGGGCAGACACCAAAACTCGGAGAATCCGTTTATTTGATCATTTTGAACGCTGGAAATGCCAGACCAATCCACGAGGAAGACAGACCACACACGGATGCTTGTGCTCGTGACGGGACAGCGGCATCGCCATGGCTCTGGGCATGCATTTCCCTTCGCGACGGGCAGCTGCACGATGCATACACACCACGACACAACCAGGCTCGAGGGATCACAGGCCACGAGGGGGACCACGCGTCAAAGGCCACCGGAGGCATTAAATACGGACCTACACGTGACGCTTCACTTCACCAGACGGCTAACTTAGGGACGAAAAGGAAGGAGACGGCGGCATACAGGCGTGCAAGTGGTTTTGGTGGGAGGACCAGCAGGGTGGACGCAGCCATGCACGGGAGGGGCTCACTATCTGCTCTCCCTCTGTCCCCGCCCCCACCTCGCCCCCAGGCACCTGCGACGTCACCTTGAGCCTGGGCGCCCTCGCTCGGTCATGACCAGTGCTGCCTGCCTGTGTCCGTGCTGCCTGTGCACCGGACACGCCCTGGAGCTGAGAACACTGGAACCCTCCCGGAATCGCAGCCCTGGAAGGGACAGGGCGGGGCGGGAGGCGAGGGACACCGCGAGGGCCATCGGAGGAGGGAGGTGCAGCCGGCAGGGCCGGGCCAGAGCCGTGGTCGCAGTCCCGGCAGCGCGGGAGTGACGGCGGAGGCAGCCACGTTGGCAAGCGAAGCTGGAGCGGCGAGCGAGCCGGGCTCCCTGGCGGCGTGCGGCGGCCCCTCCCTCAGAACTGGCTGGCGCTGCTGGGGTCACACTGCAGCAGCCGCACGATGGACGGGTCGCTCTTGGCACCTTTGATGAATTCTTCCAGGGACAGTTTGCCTGCGGGACAGAGTCGGGAGACACTGGGATTAGCCAGAGGGTCCACGGGGCATGGGCACGGCGCCCGGGTCAGGCACGGGCCCCGCGGGTCCCACTCTCCAGCTCGTCTGGGGCTGGATGGCCCCCAGGCTGCACACTGCCCCTCTGCGGCTCCCCGCAAAGCCTCAGGACACCCACACCCGGGGGCAAGCGGGCCTGGGTGAGCACTCAGCCCATGCTCACAGAGAGGTGCTCAGGTGCTTAGTCCAGCAAGAGCGTGGTATTGGGTCTAACCCACAGGCAACCCGGGTGGGTACTCCGTGGGCAGCCATGGGCCCTCAGCTGCCACGCGCGCTGTCTGCCTGCAGCTCCAAGCCTCCAGCCTCCGCGGAGGTCTCCATCTGCTGGTTCACTCCCCGATGCCCCCAGCAGACGAGGCTGGGCCAGGCCGAAGCCAGGAGCCCAGGGTTCCATGTGGGTGGCAGGGACCCGAGGACCTGAGCCATGGTCTGCTGCCTTCCGATGGGCACTGGCGACAGCACGACCCCAGGCACTCCCAGCCGGGCTGTGTGCCTCAGGGTCCCGCCTCCCTGTGCTTCACAACGGCTCCGCCTGGCTCCGGGGCTGCACTGCACACAGCCCACGAGAGGCACAGAACCCGAGTCCCACGGCGCCCCCCCCTTGCTGGGCCAGGCCAGAAAGCTGTGTGCACCCTCATGGTCACTGTCCCCAGCCGGGGCAGCAATGCCGCAGCCTGAGAGCGCTCCTGGGCCACCCGGGGAGGCCCCCAGCTCACAGTGAGAGCGGCAGGCCGGCCCAGCTTCCAGGACCCCCGCGCCCTCCTGCAGCGCACCCAGGGGGCCTCGCAGACAGGGGGACAGGGCGTCCCTGGGTTTTGAGGGGAGAGGCTCCACTCAGAGGTGCCTGAAGGTGTCCCTGGCTCTGAACCCCAGATGGGGCACAGAGCGGGCCGCCGCAGGGAAGCCACAAAGCTGCAGAGGGGACAGGGAGTGTCCCAAACCCATCTGCGCCAGCCACAGCACTGCATGTGTGTGCACATATGCATGTATACCCACACATATGTGCACACGCACACAGCATCACACTGCACACGGCATCACACACACGCACACATCACACGTGTGCACGCATCACACAAGACACACATGTACACAGCATCACACACACTTGCATCACACACATGCACACGGCACCACACATGTGCACACACATCACATGCACACAACCACACATGTACACAGCATCACACATGCACACATCACACATGTGCACACACATCACACAAGACACACATGTACACAGCATCACACATACACACTTGCATCACATACATGCACATGGCACCACACACGTGCACACACATCACACGTGTGCACGCATCACACAAGACACACATGTACACAGCATCACATAACACTTGCATCACATACATGCACACGGCACCACACACGTGCACACACATCACATGTGTGCACACATCACACAAGACACACATGTACACAGCATCACATACACACTTGCATCACACACATGCACACATGCACATGGCATCACACACATGCACACATCACACATGTGCACACACATCACACATACACACTTGCATCACACACATGCACACGGCACCACACATGTGCACACACATCACACAGGCACATGTGTACACAGCATCACACACATACTTGTATCACACACGTGCACACATCACACGTGCACACACATCACACATGTATGCAGCATCGTGTACACACATGCACACGGCATCACACACACTTGCATCACACACATGCACACGGCACCACACATGCACACACATCACATGCACACAACCACACATGTACACATCACACATGCACACATCACACACGTGCACACACATCACACAGGCACACGTGTACACAGCATCACACACATACTTGTATCACACACGTGCACACATCACACGTGCACACACATCACACATGTATGCAGCATCGTGTACACACGTGCACATGGCGTCACACACGGAATCATGCATGGGCACACACACACACGCACACACCCCTCATCCCCTACCGTCGTTGTTGGTGTCCATCTGCCTGAAGATCTTGTCCGTCCGCTTCTCGGGGGTCGACTCGTCCTCGGGCATCTTCATCACAGAGGACACCATCTTGTAGATGGCCTGCACGGGAGGGCGGGGGGTCAGGGGTCAGGGGTCGTCTCCGCCCCGGGTGGGGGCTGGGAACGCCGGCCGAGGATACGCACGCGGTCAGCCCGCCTGCAGCTCCGGAGCCGCCGCCCTGGCCCAGCTCAGAGGGGAGGGAAGAGCTGGGAGCCCCCGCCCAGCGCCAGGGGGCCGCTGCCCACCCGCCCCGCCACGGGAGGGCGGGGGGTCAGGGGTCAGGGGTCGTCTCCGCCCCGGGTGGGGGCTGGGAACGCCGGCCGAGGATACGCACGCGGTCAGCCCGCCTGCAGCTCCGGAGCCGCCGCCCTGGCCCAGCTCGGAGGGGAGGGAAGAGCTGGGAGCCCCCGCCCAGCGCCAGGGGGAAGCCGCCGCCCGCCCGCCCCGCTGCAGGAGGGTGGGGGGTCGGGGGTCGGGGGTCGTCTCCGCCCCGGGTGGGGGCTGGGAACGCTGCCGCCCTGCTGCGGGAGGGTCGGGGGTCGGGGGTCAGGGGTCGGGGGTCTTCTCCGCCCCGGGTGGGGGCTGGGAACGCTGCCGCCCCGCCGCAGGAGGGTGGGGGGTCAGGGGTCAGGGGTCGTCTCCGCCCCGGGTGGGGGCTGGGAACGCCACTGCCCTGCCGCGGGAGGGTGGGGGGTGGGGGGTCGGGGGTCAGGGGTCGGGGGTCGTCTCCGCCCCGGGTGGGGGCTGGGAACGCCACTGCCCTGCCGCGGGAGGGTGGGGGGTGGGGGGTCGGGGGTCGTCTCCGCCCCGGGTGGGGGCCGCGGGCCCGCACCTGCACGATCTCCAGCATCTCGCTGCGGCTGATGTAGCCGTTGCCGTCCAGGTCGTACATGCTGAAGGCCCACTTGAGCTTCTGCTCCAGCTTGCCCCGCGAGGTCACGCTCAGCGCGATGATGAACTCCCGGAAGTCGATGGTGCCGTCGCTGTTGGTGTCGAAGGTGCGGAAGACGTGCTCGGCGAACTTGGAGGCGTCGCCGTAGGGGAAGAAGTTGGCGTAGATCTTCTTGAACTCGTCCACGGTCAGGTGCCCGGTGGGGCAGTCCTTGAGGAAGCCCTTGTACCACTCCTGCAGCTCGTGGTCCGTGAACTCCGTGTTCTCCCGCAGGTCCTGCAGCACCTCGGGCCGCAGCTTGCTGTTCTGCTTGCCCATGGCGCCCGGCGGCGGCTACACCTGCAACACAGCCGCCGTCAGCCGCCGCCAGCCCGGAGCAGGGCTGAGCCGCGCCCCCTCCGGCCCTGCGCCGTGCGTGGGCAGGGGCTGAGCCGCGCCCCCTCCGGCCCTGTGCCGTGCGTGGGCAAGGGCTGAGCCACGCCCCCTCCGGCCCTGTGCCGTGGGCAAGGGCTGAGCCACACCCCCTCCGGCCCTGTGCCGTGCGTGGGCAGGCCCCTCCGGCCCTGTGCCGTGGGCAGGGGCTGAGCCGCGCCCCCTCCGGCCCTGTGCCGTGCGTGGGCAGGCCCCGCAGGCCCCGAGCTCGCACGCTGGGGGCCACCCTTTGCCCCCACCAACAGGGGGGCCGCACGCACGCCCTCTAGTGGCGAGACGGAGGAGGTGCACGGACCCGGCTGCCCGGGGCTAAGCTGCAGAGGTTGGAAGAAACCTCGCTCTCAAGCGCCCACCCACCTCCGCCTTTGTCCTGGATGGTTCCCTTTTAGGGGAGACCACACGCTGCTTCCAGCCTTACGTGAGACTCCCGAAGCCTGGCAGGAGGGCCTCCCAACTAAGCCGCAGTGAGTGAGGCTTTGGAGCTGTTTCTGCATCTATGAATGCTGCCCGGCGCGCGTGGGGGTGGGGGTGGGGGTCCCCCTCCCCACTCCCCCCTCCTCCGCTGCAGCCTCCTTCCCAGGTGGATTGGTTCACACGTGAGCGCTTTGTTTTCACCCATCTCTACAGCCGGAAGTAACACACCAAGCATCCCGTCCCGTGTGCAGCCTCTGCCCAGGGCAGCTTCCTACACACAGCAATCCCACGCCGGGACACGCCACCCACGCAGCGCTGGCTGTGACCCCGACGACCCCGAGCCCCAGCGCTGGGCACGGGTAAGAAGTCATCTTCCAGATGGATCTTTGTGTGGCGACAACAGCACACAGTCTGCCGGCATTTGTGAAGAAAAACACAGGGGCACGGATCGGTCCGCGCCTCGGACCCCCACCCCACCCCACCCCCGCCCCGGGAAGGGCTCAGGGAGCAGCCGGGGTTGGGCCGGCGCCTCTCAGCCTTGACTGCAAACCTGCGACTTTAAGATGCTGATGAACACCCACAGACACACCGGCCCCAGCCTCCAGTCCTCGGACACAGAGCCCTCCCTTCTCCGGCTCCTCCCCGGTCCAGGGAACACCTGGAAGCCTGCCCCGCCCCCTGCTGTCTGTAAGTTGGGCCTACAAAGTGGGAGGTGCCAGTCTTGGCACAACTGGCCCCTCGGTTTGCTGCCAAGGGTGCAGAGTGAGGGGAGAGGTGGGGTGCAGGGCAGCAGGTGCTGAGGCCAGCCTCTCCAGCCCCCACCCCAGCCCCTGACCCTCGGAGGAGTAAGAAGAGCCCCTCCCCACCTCCACCCCCACCCAGCCCTCTGTCAGCTCAGCGGAGCCCTGGGGACTTGGCCATGGGGACTTCCACGTAACAAGACCAGGGCGGATGTGAGAATCAAAATGTAATGCCTCGGCCGGCGCCGCGGCTCACTAGGCTAATCCTCCGCCTAGCGGCGCCGGCACACCGGGTTCTAGTCCCGGTCGGGGCGCCGGATTCTGTCCCAGTTGCCCCTCTTCCAGGCCAGCTCTCTGCTGTGGCCAGGGAGTGCAGTGGAGGATGGCCCAGGTGCTTGGGCCCTGCACCCCATGGGAGACCAGGAAAAGCACCTGGCTCCTGGCTCCTGCCATCGGATCAGCGCGGTGCACCGGCCGCAGCGCGCCGGCCACGGCGGCCATTGGAGGGTGAACCAACGGCAAAGGAAGACCTTTCTCTCTGTCTCTCTCTCTCACTGTCCACTCTGCCTGTCAAAAAATAAAAACAATAAAAAAAAAATGTAATGCCTCAAAGATGGCTGGCAGGAGAGGAGAAGTGACCAGGAGGCGGCCAGGGCCTCCAGCCTCGCTGTGACTGCTCCCGTGCCAGCCCCGGGGCCACCTCTGAGGGCCCCAGGCCAGCACCACACACAGAAGGCCTCCCTCCGAGTGGACAGGGCTGGGTCCCCAGGGTGGCACAGGGCCCAGCGCCCGCCCCCCCCCCCCCCCCCCGGCGGCAGCTCCGTGTCCTCGGCACACCCAGCCTCCAGACTGGATTCTGTCCCCTCCCGGTGCCCGTGAACCTGACCTCATTTGAAAACAGGGTCGCTGCAGACGACTGAGTTAAGAAGAGGTCATTAGGACGGGCCCTCGTCCACCATGGCTATGTCCTCAAAGCAGGGGAGATGGGACCCCACTGGCAGACACACAAGGACAGGGCCCCACGGCCCCCAGAAGCTAGAGCGAGGAGGACAGATTCCCCGCCCAGGCGGGGAGGCTGGCCCGGGGCAGGCGGCAGGCTCACAGCCATCACCGGCCACCACTGTGGGCTCATGGCACCTCCTCTGCCTGACGGGCATTTCTGCCCCGACTCTCGGACCCTGCAGGCTCGGGGTCGCTGCTGCTGGCGTCAGCTCACCGAAAGCCAATCGGCGCCAGAGAGAAGCTCCCCATCTGCCCCAGTGGGCTTGGGCTCCGTCCTCACAGACGCCCCGAAGTGCCACTCTCGCTGCCTGAAATGATGGACGTTCACAGATGGGAGCGCCAGGCGCAGGAGGGGAGGGGCGGGTGCGCCGTGCGGAGGGAAGCCCCGGCCTGCCCGGTTCCTCCCACGTGGGCCCCAGCGCCCCCTTCTCAAACCTCGGCGGGGCCTGGAGGAGCAGGAGCAGGGGTTTCCACCAGCCGACAGGGAGCTCTTGCTGTTGGCATGGACACTGTGCACATGTACACACACCTGCACTCGTATACACACCTGCATACACACACCTGCACACATACACATGCCTGTATACATACATACACCCGCACAGGTACACACACCCGCACAGGTACACACACCCGCACGCGTACACACACCTGCACACACACACCTGCACGCATACACACACCTGCATACATATATACACCTGCACATGTACACACATCTGCACGCGTACACACACCTGCATACATACACCCACACATGTACACACACCTGCACATGTACACACACCCACATACACCTGCACATGTACACACACCTACATACACACACCTGCACACACATGTACACACCTACATATGTACACACACCTGCACACACCTACATACGTACACACACCTGCACACACACCTACACCTTAACACATACACACACCTGCACACGTACACAGTTGCACACATACACAGCTGCATGCATTCACACCTGCACACGTACACACATCTGCACACACCTGCTTTTGGGGATGACTCTGACCAGGCTGGTGTTCCAGGAGAGCCGGGAGAGCCCCTCTGGGGATGCGAGGGAGGGATCCGAGCGCGTCGGCATCAGAGAGGCCCGAGGCCACGCCGAACCCCAGGGGACTTCCTCCACTGGGGAGTCCGCAGGATGGGAGTGGGGTGAGGGACCCAGCACGGACACAGCAACCCTGGCGTCTGTTCTCATCCGATCTCAGGGAAGAAGAAAGGGCCGTGCTGACAACAGCCTGACACCGGCTGATCTGAGCCCTCATCTGGACCGGGGAACGTGGAGGCCGAGGGTGCTGGGACCCCAGCGTGGTAGAATGTCTCCTGAAAGGGAACCTCCACCCCCAACAAGAAACAGAACTCCTAGGCCATGTTCACGGCCCGGCCATGATCCCAAGGCCAACACACAGCGAAAAGTGCACGGGGCATGGTGATGGCCGAGCAGGGCGGAGGGAAGCCACACCCCACGGCTTTGAGAGAGGGCCTGAGGAGGGAGGCGCAGGCCAGCCGGTGCCCTGGGGCCTGAGAACCTCCAGTGCGAGAGGACACAAGACGCCCTCGCGTCCTGCCCCCTTGCAGCCAGGTCAGGCCCCAGGTGGAGACGCTGCCACTCCACCCAGCTCAGCGGGGCTCGCAGGCTGCACAGTCCAGCAGTGTGGGGCCAGCACGGCAGTGGGGACAGGGTCACCCTCCAGCTCTACAGGGTGTGGTGACGTCACAGGCTGTCCGGCAAGGAAGCCGGCCTGAGCTCACCTCCACATCTCTTCCCTGCTCCTTCTTCCTGGTCACAGGCTGGACTACATTTCCCAGCCTCCTTTGCAGCCCCTGGGCCACGTGACCGCACTGGACAATGGGATGTGGATGGTGATGCCCACCCCTTCCAGCTGGGCCCCTCCACCACCCTGCTCTACCCTCTGTCTGCTGCCTGCAGCTGGGTGCAGAGAAGCCGGGGAGGCCCGGTCGGCACAGACCCTCCAGCAGGTCCCCGCCAGACTTCCTGATCTGAAGCGCAGCCCACAGCGCCTCCCTGGAGTGCCCTTTTCCCAGTCCTCCTGCAGATGGCGCCGCAGTGGCTGCCGCGGGGCACTGGGGCTGAACTCCGGGGAAGCCCAGCTGGGCAAGGCTATGGGAGGGAGGAGGGAGGACGGGCTAAGTGATGCCTGGAGTAGAGCCCTCCCCTCCCCAACGCCACACCCCCTGCACGCGACCAGGAAACGCATCTTTCTGTTGTGCTGCCCGGGGCCAATGCGGGGCGCAGCCCCTGGCCCCGGAGTCATGTGACCGCCGCCACACCTCCACACCCAAGGGACTCCCTGGAGAGACTGGACAAGGCAGCCACAGGCTGGGGAAGCAGGGGCAGAACCAACAGAGAATGGGGAATGTAAAGGAACGTCGCTCTCTCCTATGCAGAAAGCCCCCAGCCGGCCCCCACCCCAGGGGCCAGCCACGATCGAGACCCGCACAGGGCTCCAGAGGCTCGTTCTCAGAGAAACCGGGAGCCCAGCTTGTCCTGAGGACCTGGGGCTGGGCTGGGTGTGCAGCGGGCGGGCAGAAGGCAGAGCCCCAGCTCCTGGGGCTGTTCACGGCACAGGTGCCAACAGGACGGGACAGGACGGCCAGGTGGGGTAGGGATCCCAGGAGGAACGGACCATCCCCCGGGGGTCCCTGGGCATCCAGAATGACCAGGAAGCTTTCAAAGGCTCCTGGAGGCCCCCGAGCCCCGCCCCATGA